GCGTGCAGAGGTGAACGATACATAGATACGCAGTATTTCTTGCTTCAGCATATACTCCCTTTGTACTTTTCGTGAGAAGATTTTCAAAGCTCCTGTAAAAAGCGCGCACGAGAGGAAAGTCGCGCGACGACTGAAATCGTTGAGAACAATCGTAAGTAGCTTACTCGAATCGAATTGTGCTTGGCTCACGACACTGATTCTGACTGATTAAAAACGAGAGAGAAAGACGACGTATATAGCTTTTTTTCCACGAGTTTAGCACGAGATGATAAACGTAGTATAATTATATAGTAGGAATGAGAGAAATGATCGACGTGAGATGAGAAAAGTGGAACGATGGTTTCAATTCGGTGACGTAGAGGAAAATCTTAGAGGCGATATTTCAAGTGAAAGACGATGCTGAAGTGACGTATATTTTATAACTTTATCATTCGTTTCGCACGTTTACGAATATGTACACTCCCAAATAAAATGATGGCACATGCGTGTTATATATCTTTCGAGGTTTTCGAGAACAGCAAATGGTACATGAATGTGACGACACAGAGAGGAAGAATCTTCATAAAAAAGTTCGTTCTTGCTAGAAAAGATTTAAAATGAAACCGGATATTAATAATAAAGCGAAATAAAAATATCCAAATTTAATTATACAAGAAATTAATGAACATGCACGATGCATATTTGTATCTTCTATTATAAGAGAATTTTACATTTCTGACATGATCAGAAATCTATTACACATGCTATCTACAAAAATGGAGGACAATATGAAATCAATCAAATGAAAAAGAATGGAGCAATCTATCTCAGGATGATAAAATCAAAAGTCTCTGTAAGCCCTTGCCAAATATTGTTCTTTTCTATTCTATGAACAGTGACAACAGTGACCTTTTTTACCAATAGTTTGTAAAAGAATGTCTGTCGTCGCATTCGTTTAGCATCTGTGAATGTGCTATCATTTTCAGTGTACATATGTCGTTGCATAAATACATGAATATAAACGTACACGTGTAATAAATGTTGAACGAAGAAAAAAATGGACAAAGTAACCGAGGTTCGATCAACTCGTATTGTGCTTCGTCAGTTTTAATTTATTTATTTTTACAAGAGGCAAGAAAGGAAATGTAATACGCAAGAATCAATGACAGCGAAGCACGACGTATATTGAGTACTGAAAACACCAGTTTGAATCTAATGATATCGTCGGGACTATAATTAAGGATTACAACAACATATCTTCTATTGGATTCATACTTTATATTCGACGTGCCGACATGAACGATAATTCTCAACCACCCCCTCCCTCCCTCCCACTCACCCCCCGCCCCTCGTTACTTTAAACGTGATTATCGTCAATTAATTTTTCTAGCCGCGTACGAACTGTAATAATCATGATAACGTTTGTCGATATATCGCATATCTCGATGATGTTCACTTCTGATGGCTGAAAAACTAAATAAAAATCTCACGACTCGATCGGTAATCCTCGATCATTGCGGCTTTGCCAGATTAACGCTTGTCACGAGTCGGCGTTAATAGGAAGCAATGAAATCGGTTGCCTCGTTAAGAACGTGCTATCGCGATGATAGTTGTTCGTTCGAGACAGAAATCAATTCAACAGAAGAGAAAATCGAGGGAACGTGAGACACGAGACTTGTCGAGTGCGTGGAAACTTTTTTCATTCTCATCCCTCGCTGCGAATGTAAAAGTGTGAAGCGTCGTTATGCCGATAATCCATCGTCTTGCCATTTGTCAACGAAAAAATAGGAAAAAAAGAAAAAAAAAAAAAAAA